AAGGATGTCATGTGGGGAGTGGTCTTTTGAAGGATGTCAGTGTGGGGGGTGGTCTTCTGAAGGATGTCAGTGTGGGAGGTGGTCTTCTGAAGGATGTCAGTGTGGGGGTGGTCTTCTGAAGGATGTCAGTGTGGGGGTGGTCTTCCGAAGGATGTCAGTGTGAGGAGTGGTCTTCCGAAGGATGTCAGTGTGGGGGGTGGTCTTCTGAAGGATGTCAGTGTGGGGGTGGTCTTCTGAAGGATGTCAGTGTGGGGGGTGGTCTTCTGAAGGATGTCAGTGTGGGGGTGGTCTTCTGAAGGATGTCAGTGTGGGGGTGGTCTTCTGAAGAATGTCAGTGTGGGGGTGGTCTTCTGAAGGATATCAGTGTGGGGGGTGGTCTTCTGAAGGATGTCGTGTGGGGAGTGATCTTCTGAAGGATGTCAGTGTGGGGGGTGGTCTTCTGAAGGATGTCATGTGGGGAGTGGTCTTTTGAAGGATGTCAGTGTGGGGGGTGGTCTTCTGAAGGATGTCAGTGTGGGAGGTGGTCTTCTGAAGGATGTCAGTGTGGGGGTGGTCTTCTGAAGGATGTCAGTGTGGGGGTGGTCTTCCGAAGGATGTCAGTGTGAGGAGTGGTCTTCCGAAGGATGTCAGTGTGGGGGGTGGTCTTCTGAAGGATGTCAGTGTGGGGGTGGTCTTCTGAAGGATGTCAGTGTGGGGGGTGGTCTTCTGAAGGATGTCAGTGTGGGGGTGGTCTTCTGAAGGATGTCAGTGTGGGGGTGGTCTTCTGAAGAATGTCAGTGTGGGGGTGGTCTTCTGAAGGATATCAGTGTGGGGGGTGGTCTTCTGAAGGATGTCGTGTGGGGAGTGATCTTCTGAAGGATGTCAGTGTGGGGGGTGGTCTTCTGAAGGATGTCGTGTGGGGAGTGGTCTTCTGAAGGATGTCAGTGTGGGGAGTGGTCTTCTGAAGGATGTCGTGTGGGGGGTGGTCTTCTGAAGGATGTCAGTGTGGGGGGTGGTCTTCTGAAGGATGTCAGTGTGGGGTGTGGTCTTCTGAAGGATGTCGTGTGGGGAGTGGTCTTCTGAAGGATGTCAGTGTGGGGGGTGGTCTTCTGAAGGATGTCAGTGTGGGGGGTGGTCTTCTGAAGGATGTCAGTGTGGGGTGTGGTCTTCTGAAGGATGTCGTGTGGGGAGTGGTCTTCTGAAGGATGTCAGTGTGGGGGGTGGTCTTCTGAAGGATGTCAGTGTGGGGCGTGGTCTTCTGAAAGATGTCAGTGTGGGGGGTGGTCTTCTGAAGGTGCCTCTGAGGGATGTAGAAAGAAGAACAGGACCAAAGCTCTGCAGAGAGAGGGGAACCATCTGGCCAGCACAAGAGGAGTTCCCAATTGCTTCTAGAGGTTTCCAAACCAGGAAACATGGGTGGATCAGTCGCATCGAAGGTAACTTGGGCAATTTTTCCATCCGAGGACCGCCTCCGTGTATCTCTCGGGTACCTACGCCTCATCTTCCAGAACTGTCCCCTCAGCAAGACTGACAGAGATATCTGGGTCAATCCAATGCGGCTCGTTCTTGACCAGTCATTTGTATGTCTTTTACCACGTAATGAGAGGCAGGGCTAACCCGTGGCAGAGCTACTACAACGCACATGTCATCTGTACGTTACGCCTCTGAACTTGCTTTGTCCGTAATTGACACGGAGGAGGTTCCCATCAAACGCCGGAGAAATTTATTAGCAATTAAAAAAAAACAAAACTCAATCGTGTTTCTCTTCGGGTTTTAATGGTTTTCCTTGAAGAGCTCATTCCTTCCCTGACACTTTGTCACGACCAAGTCGGAATCATTCTCTAGGTTCCCAAGTCTCGGATACAAAGTGAGCTCATCATTCGACTTGCAATGTAGTAGAAACATTAAAACTCTACCTGAAGCGAATGCTGATGACATAAGTTGGCTTGGATAAGTGAGAGCAAAAATCTGGGTGCTATAGCACACCTGACTTATATTAATAAAACCCCAGTACACATATAAAAGAGAGGAAACATCCCACGTAGAACATCCCGAGGGCCGGTGGAGTGGAATCGGACATCCCTCGCGCCCACACACCCGAGGCTCTTCCAATATAAAACGCTGCTCCGATTCTGAAACAGCAGGAGAGAAATGGCCCTGGTTTATTTCTTCCGATTCATCAGTTTCTGGATATTGCGGAGTGTTCTCTCCGGCGTCTTTCTCTGGCATGTGTGTTACAGAGGCCGCGTCTCGGAAAACGGACGCTGCTCCTTAATGCCCCCTTTGAAGATTAGCAGGACGCTGACTGCTGCCTCCGCCGTTTTGGAGACACAGGCCTGCTGAAGGCCAGTGTTTTCTCCGAGTCACCCTGGTATCGGGAAAAGCGCACACTTTCCCCGTGGAGGCTTGTGCTGACCTGTTACCACAGTTCTGGCTGCGTTTCCTCCGTGTGTCCTAATCAGGAAACATTCCCTTCGAAACTTCCCCACTGGACACGTACCACAGCTTTTTTAGCCACTCGTCTACTGATGGGCACTTGGGCTGTTTCCAGATCTTAGCGATTGTAAATAGTGCTGCTATGAACATAGGGGTGCATGTATTCTTTCTGATTGGTGTTTCAGGCTTCTTAGGGTATAATCCAAGAAGTGGGATCACTGGGAGACATAGAAGTAGGGTACAGACGGACAAACCTCAGAAGAGGGGGTGGGAGGGAGGGAAGAGATAAACCACAGAACTTACATGCATGTACGCATAACCAATGGACACAGACAACGGTTCTGGGGGTGGGGCGGGGGTTGGGGAGGAGGGTGTTAATGGGGGAAAAAGGGGAAACATCTGTAACAAAAATAAATTAATAAAAATAATTTAAAAATTCCCCACTGTGTCCTCTAAAGTCTCTTTTAAATTATTAAACAAAAATAAAAATGTGACAGTCACCAGCATCAACACGGTCCTTTCCCCAGAGGCCTGTCCATACCTTGGGGCCGGGACACAGCGGACATCCCCTCCGGTGGTCAGTATGTCTTCTGTTCCGTGGCACCAGGCCCTCAGTCCGCCACACACCTGCTGTGACACACCCTCTCCCTGTCTGTTCCGGCCGTTGTGTGACCCTGAAGGCTGTGACACGGGGCTCACCGGCTTCCCGCCCACTCTGTCCCTTGCCGTGGCCCCGAGGGGGCCTCAACAGTGATGTGGGGGACCAGCCGACCAGTTCCCTGACTTTCTCCACAGCCTTTTCATACGCTCAAGAGCCCCACTGCATGGCCAGACGATGATGCTTCTTTTTTTTTTTTTTTATCCTCACCCGAGGACATTTTCCCATTTTTTTGTTCAGGTAGAGCAGGAGGGAGAGAGAGGAACAGAGAGAGAGAGAGAAACATCGATGTGAAAGGGACACATCGAGTGGCTGCCACCCGCACGACCAACCAGGGCCGGGCACAAACTGCAGCCGAGGTACATGCCCTTAGCGGGAACCGAACCCGGGTCTCTCCGGACCGCAGGCCGACACTCTAACCGCTGAGCCAAACCGGCCAGGGCACTTCTTTGATCTTCTTTCTGCCCAAACCGCTTTCCTGGGAAATCCTGATTTGTCCAACCGGGACCTCGCCTTCCACCGTTCCCTCTATTCTCTGTCACCGTTTTGCTCACCGGCTCTGCCATCTGGGTGGTCTCCCTCTGTAGCTGGACCGTCCCGGTCCTCCATCAAACCAGCACCTCATTCGTTCACTGCCTTCGCTCAGCAAATGCCGTCTCAGCAGCTGCCCCGTGTCGGGCCCTGTTCTGGCCCCGGGGACACAATGGTACACGCCGTCCCGTGTCCCTTGCTGCAATGGTGTGTGATGCAATCATCCCTTCCTGATGTGTCTGGCCCTTGGGAAACTCTCAGTGGACGTTATGTATCCAGGCTGCTATGAATGTGACTGTCTCCTTTACTAGGTGAGGGTGTGAGGTTATCTTGTCTTCCCCTTAGAATCTCCAGGACCTACCCCACTGCCTTTGACGGGGGGTGGGGGGTGCTCAGGAACTGGTGCCCTGATGATACAGACATGGCACTGTCTTGGTCAGAACAGGGATCTAGGGAAGTCTAGCTGTTCCCTGAGGGGTCACTCGGAAAAAAAATAAAGCTATACCTATCTGTGATTCTTATTAAATCTTCTGCCATCTCTGAAAGACTAACAAAGCAATAAGCAAGCAAAACAACAACAAAACACATAAAGTCTTGTGTGGTTTGGAAAGGGACCTGCTGGACTGTCGCTCATGTGCTCCTCCCCACTCGGCCCCGTGTCACCGAGCCCCTGCGGACTCTGGGTCTCACTCACTCCCGCCTCCTGGGGGGCTTCACCCTTCAGAGCCAGTCTCGTCCTCTCATGCATGTCCAGTCCTTTCTTCGTTACCAACACTTTTCTCCTGTGTATAACGGCTGGCTCCAGACCCTGCCATTTACAACCATGACGAGAACAATGGGTGAAACCACCGGCCCTCGATCTCTATGTCCACCTCCATTCACCTCGGACACTGTCTTACTTTTTAATTATTATTACTTTTAATTTTTATTTCTTTATTGATTCCAGAGAGAGAGAGAGAAACATCGATGAGAGAGAACATCGACTGGCCACCTCCTGCACGCCCCCCACTGGGGATCAGGCCCACAACCTGGGCACGTGCCCTGACCGGGAATCGAACTGGCGACCTCTTGGTGCAGGGTCGACGCTCAACCACTGAGCCACGCCGGCCAGGCTCTACCATTTAAATTTAAATACCCACTCTTCTTCCATATCATTGGGCAATTCCTTTTCTCTCCCTTCCTTGAACATCTTTGCTTGGGAATCTCCGTACGTGCCTGCATCCCGTGAGCAGCCCCGGGACAGGGACTGGGTCCTTCTCCGCTCTGTGTATTTACCTGTTAGCACATCCCTGGAGCAAAAGAGCCCTTGATGTCGGACCCCAGTGACGTCGCGCAGTCAGGGCCAAGACCAGCCTGCCGGGAGCTGCTCACCCGTCGGCCCGGAACTGATACTCACATTTCAGCTCGAGTTTGATGAAATCCGTGTTCCCCAGGTTCTCCAGAAACACCCCCCGCGGGATCAGCGTCTTGAAGTAGAAGGAGATGTCAGCACTGGTCTCCCCCCGGAACGTCGAGAAGTGGAGGTAGGAAGACGGGTTTGGGAAGGAGGCGGAGTTCCAGTAATTCCCTGCGGGAAGAAGAGGACGAAGCAGGTTGGCACCTCGGTCGGGCGTGCTAGGGGGTGTGGGCTTAAAGCTTTGCACGGGCAGGTCTACGCCCTGATGAACGTGGAAGGCCTGTTCGGAGGCGTCTGGGGCCCGATCCCTGGGGTTCTGGGGTGTAACGAGGTAACATGCAGGAGCTGCTGGCATCACTGTTGTTTGTTTCCAAACCATTTCTGCTCCGTCACCTTGGGCCCCGGAACAAAGTAAGTGCTCAGTAAACAGCTATTAAATCGGCGAGTCAGTGAAGTGCTGCCTCTCTCAACGACATTCAGCTCCTCATGGGACAAAACCCACTTGCGAGTCACCAGGGCACTGAAGGTACCAGCTAAAGAGACACCGAAGCTAAGGCTCTCGCACCCACCGCTGGCTGGACACGGCGTCCGCCAGCACGTCGCTGTTCTCCCGACCCACGACCTAACTTCCTCGGACCCCCGCAGAGCTCCCTGGACAATGCCACACATTCGCGGGACGGATGTCCTCGCAGCCTTGGGGCGACGGAAGCAGCTGCAGTGTGTCCTTGCGATCAAGGTCAGTGGTGTGGAGGGTGGAGGGACGTTGGTGAGAATACCACGTGGGCCGTAAGAGACTCGCTGTCCGGCAAGGACTTGCGACCAGGCAGGGGGCAGGGATGGCCAGTGTGGACAGGCAGAGGGGCCGGGTTGGGAATGGGCAGGGCAGGAGCCGAAACACACATCGGAGCCGGCAGGGGCCAGTCGGCAGCACCGATACCCAGGCAGGTGGAAGAGGGCGGGCACCCAGCCCGGGCCAGGCAGCAGTCAGGGAAGGCTGGGCCTCAGGCGGGAGAGGCTGATGGCTCTGCAGACTGGCAAAGGACCCGGGCACGTGAGAAACTTTCTATTTATTTCCTAATTTTTAATTATTATGGTATTTTTCCCATCACCTTTGATCCCTTCTATGCCCTCCACCACCTCCCCCGCCCCCCGCAATCACCACCCGGTTGTCCCAGGCCGTGAGTTCTCTCTCTTTTTGTTTATTTTTTTGTTCAATACCCCCTCCCACGCCCCTGCGCCCACCAGAGCTGTCTGCCTGCTCTCTGTTTGTGAGTCTGTCTCTATTTTGCTTGTCAGCTCAGTTTGTTCAGTAGATTCCACACAGGAGCGAAGTCACATGGTCCTCGTCTTCGCTGACGGGTTCACTTCACTCGGCATAAGGTTCCCCAGTGTGAGCAGCTTTTGAAACGCGTCCTGGGCAGGGTTTGGGCTCCGCTCCTGGGGCGAGAGGAGCCCGGGAGGAACCTCCAGCCGGAGCCACCAACCGGGCCGGGCTGAGACGTCCTCTCTCAGACCTCGGGGGCTCATCCGGAGAAAACGCAGCATCTCTGTCCGAGCCCTTCCGCACCCGTTTCCCGTGTCACCATCCCTGGTGTGGGATTCCGGGCTCAGCATTGCTAAGGATACGTTCTGATGGGCAGGAAGCCCGATTTTAACTCCTAACGAAACATTGTTGCACGGACGCAGTTTGCAGAGTCCGGTGGGGCCAGAAGGCAGAGCCAAAGGCCGTTCCCGCCTCCCCCCTCCCCGCACCAAACCCAACTTCGTAACAACTTCTGCACCTTTAACTGGACACACGATGTCCTGTATCTCTAAAGGCTGCCTGCGTAGATACTTAGGAATCTAAGCATCTTAGATGTCCTTCGCTGACCTTCCCGAATGAGGACTGGGCACTTCCACCAGCCCGCCCTCCTGCGCCCCTCCCCGACTCTCCCCGAACAGCGAAGACAGACTTCTGGTTACACTGAGGTGCAATACAGTCTAACCCCGAACCCCCGGGGGCTGCGGCTTGCTTCTCAGCTGCCTGCCAACCGTCTGCACGTACGGATCGTCTTGTACAAGGAGCGACTGGCCACGGGGCAGGCTGAGCCCCCCTGCGAGGGGCGTGCCGGCTGGGCGGGGACCTGAGGACGCAGGCAGGGCGGGCAGGGATGAGAGCAGGCGGACTCGAGCACTTGGCCCGTCCGTGGTGCGCAGAGCTGCCGTGGAGGGGTCCCTCTGCAGGCTCCCGAATCAGACAGTCTGGCTTCCTCACCCCCCGGGTGACGCTGGCCACATCGCTCCATTTCCTCTACCCCCGTTTCCTGCTCTGTACCTGGAGCTACAACAGCAACTCTCCCCGGGCGTCGGGAATCACGGGAGACGATGCCGCCGGGGCGGAACACAAAGTAAACGTTCAGCACACGTTGTCAGTCACCAGCACGTGGGCGCATGACTTCAGTATCACGGAGTCCCCGTCCCAGGGTCCCAGGGCCTGGCCGAGGGGGAGGACGGGATGGGGCTCCTTCCTTCACCAGGTGAGCAGCAAGTCAACAGACCCAAGGCGCCTCCTGAGCCCCCGCACCCCCGCGGGGACTTCCCGAGGGGAAGCAGCAGGCTGGGCGACAGCCCTCTGTGCATCCTGCCTCCTCCAGCCGTCGGCCACCTCGGACCCCCCTCCGCCCGTTCGTCCTGTCCTCCCCGCTCTGTTCCCTGTCCTTCAGGACCGCGTGCTCCCATTTCTTCATCTCCTTGCTGACCTGGAGAAGGTTCCGTCCGGGACGCACCCGTGGGAACGACCCTGGCACCTCGCAGTGTGATAGACGCACGTGTCGAGTGGCCAATAAGTGAAAATCTGATGAAAGGAAGAGCGACTGAGCGAGTAAGGGAGTGACCCAGATGCTGGAGGAAGTCGTATGCGAACGAAGCCAGGTCGCAGGGCTGACAGGCGGAGACGAGCCCTGGGAATGGGGACGCACCCCGGGGTCTTCCGTCCCCTCCGAGGGAGGCAGGTGCTCAGGGAAGGGGACCAGGCGGAGGCCGAGCGAGCCGGCACCTGTCCGTCGGCGGAGAGGAGGGCGTGCAGACTCTGCCGGCTGTGTTGGTTGAGTGCGTGACTGCCGGGTGGTCTGGACCCCAGGGGGCTCGTCCCCCTCGCTCCCCACCCTCTCCAAAGCGGCATGTCCCAGACCACAGACCCAGAGGCTTCTGTGGCTTCAGCTTTCGGTGGCGAGCGCTTTGCAACGTGGAAAACACTTAGCCGGAGGAGAAGGCCGGTTACTCTGAAAAGTGTCAGTGACCCAAAGGCTAGAGATTTGCGTGGGCGCTGGGGTCGCTTACTACGGCTGGGTGACATCGACGACAAGAAACCAGATGATCCCCTCATGTGTGCTCCGTTGGCAGAGACGTCCTCATGGGGAGACGGAAGTTATTCCCGTGATTAAATGTCTGGTACCTTCAGGAAAGGCAGGCGGTGCTCTGGCCAGCTCCCGGCCTCGCCTCATGGGGCAGGTGAGAACGAACAGGTGCAGGTTGAAATGCTGTCTGGAGTCAGCTGGTCTCTCTGCAGTTCCCTCCTCTCCAGAAGGCCTGTCCCTGCTACAGCCCAGAGGCGGGCTGTCATAAACCTGGGGGAGGAGCCAGCATGTAAGAGCGTCCCCCGAGAAAAGGCACGTGTGATGGTGAAACCCCCAAGGTGGAGCGGCTCCGGAGGCCTCCTGTGCCGTGGTCCACGGCCAGGCCACGGGTGTGTGTGTGTGTGTGTGTGTGAGATAAAAGTGGCTTGTTCCTAGTCAGTCACGGAAACGCCTATGTCGACCCTGTCGACGGTCCATGTAAATGTAGGGGTGCTTCAGAGGTCATTCCGTTCACTTTGAGCGCTGGAAACGCTGTGTGTACTCGGATGCTTGGAGGTGGGCGGCGGGTCTAAGTCTCCTTGTCGAGCTCCTCAGGGACCCCACACCCGATCCTGACATTTCCTCAGATGCTCCTCATTGCGGCTGCTAGTGATGCCTAATGTACACTCGCCCTCCTGCGTGTATTGGGGTTCCGCGTGAAAAATTAACAACCCAAAGTGGAGAGATGGACAACCAGGTGTGCACTGGAAATACGTGGGCTTGTTCTTTACGCGAACGTCAGTCTTGCGCTAACCCCAAAGGTTTCTGTGTTCCCGATTCCAAAGGACGAGGGGATAGCAAGCCTGGCTCTCTCAGACCACACTGAATAAAGGACTGGGGGGGGGGGGGCAAGCCCCCTGTCCTGCATCTGGAGGGCGGGGAACACATTTATTATAGCCACTAGGTGGAGGTTGAAGGGAAAAATGTTTCATAAGTCATGCAGTACATAGACATGGCCATGGGAGGGCGACTCTCGGGACTGTCCAACTTTTATTTTATTTTTTTTATCCTTATCCGAGGACATTTTTTGATTTTTTTGTTCAGATAGAGTGGGAGGGAGAGAGAGAAACATTGACGTGAAAGGGACCCATCGAGTGGCTGCCACCCGCACGACCCAACCAGGGCCGGGGACAAACTGCACCTGAGGTACAAGCCCTTAGCGGGAACTGAACCCGGGTCTCTCGGGACCACAGGCTGACGCTCTAACAGCTGAGCTAAACCGGCCAGGGTGGGACTGTCCAACTTCGAAACTCTTGTGTGCCTGTCCCAGGGGTAAATCTTCCACTCTCATTACTTTCCCTGAGCCATTGCACCCCCTTTCATGATTCCAAGTACTAATCCCAGGCCACTAATTCCCAAGCGAATGCATACAGTTACATCTCTACTGTGACGTCAAGATTGAGGTATGCATTTCTTACGGGACAGCCTGTCTGCGCGTAGCTTCCTTAAACTCTGACGGAAGGCGAACGCATTTTTCTCCACGTTCACTCTGTGTGGTATGCTCTGCACTGCAGCTGCCCCCTTTGCCACTCCAGCCAGAAGCATGGGCGTCCAATCAGCCTCCAAGGCCTGATAGCCACGCCTCCGAAATATTCTGCCGTGCCCATTCCTCCCGGGGCCCTGGCTGTCCCCTCCCACCTGGATGCCACCTGAACTCCGGTGTTGTTTATCGTCATCCAGACTTTGCAAAGCTAACAGAGAAATCTCTCTAAAATGCACAACTAAGCGTTTCACTGTCATGGGTGAGACCCCCCCTCCCCCGTCATGGTTCCAGACGCCTGCAGGACACACCGCAAG